TAAGTATAAGAAAATTTTTAAGCAAATGTTACTGTTTTACAGTATTTATTCCAGTATTTTCTGTTATGCACAACTACTACTGGCATGTTATAATATGACATAATAACTGAATTTTTTTGTTGTCTGTATTTTTAAAATCACCCAGAAGACTTTTAGTACCAATGGAAACATTATTTTCTGTATCAAATTGGAGACCAAACTTTTTCATTACAACAAAGCAGAAAACACTTTGACTTAGAAAATATCCAGTCAGATCATATTAGAACATATGTATTTTAAAATATTTTTCATACTAGTATTGACAAGTTTAAGAAGACTAATAATTATATACAAAGGACAATTCATAAAAATAAAATTAAAACACTTTCAGAATTTTCAGGAATGAAAAAGTGTGAAACATTTTCTTTTTAAGAAATATTTTGTCCCATGGGAACATTCAAAGAAACCAACATATATTTTGAATCTTTGGATTTCAACAAAAACAGATATATAGATCTAGATAGATAGAAGATATATGATGAAACCTGTTGTAAGATATAGTACCAGGGGCAGCTTCTCTCTCAGAAATTTGCCTGTGGATGACAAGCTTGCTTTTGGGGATTGGTCTGGCTTTAGCCTTTTTATGATAATCCTAAATCCTTACCTGGTGAGCACCAGGGGGGCCAAACTATGGGCACATATACATGTGCTATTAAGGTGAAGCAATAAGCTCTGGTGCTTATTGTGCCAGAGTTTATTGCTCTTGGGCACTACACTTACACATGTTCCTGGGACTGCAGCACATTAAGCCAGGTCAGAGCAGCCCCGGCTAGCAAGGTGACTTGGGGGTCAGCCTGCCAGCCTGGGTCTGCTCCAACCCAGCTCAACGTGCTGCGGAAGGGCCGGCTGGGGCACAGGGGTGCTCCAATGCAGGGCTAGCTGGCAGGCAGCCCACACACTGAAGCACCCTTGTGCCCCCGCCAGCTGTCAGTGTCTACACATAAGGTGCTGCAACGTAAAAAAAACTCTGCAGCAGGATAGTACTTGCATTTTCAAGTACTGTCCTGCTGCAGAGTTAATTAGTTTCCTGTGGCCTAATAGGGCCACAAGTGTAGACACATGATGTTTACTGCAGAGCTAATTAGTCTACTCCACAGTAAACATCTCATGTAGATCCCCTATGGCTGCCAGACCACTTTCACTCCCAAAAGCAGAACTATAGCCATCAACTCCTGTCGTTAGCTCCTTATCTGTCTTCCAAACTAATTTTTAAATTGCCTTTCTTTTTTTTAACAACACTTGTCAGTGGACTTTCATCTTACACATTTGATTTAGTATTCATCGTTTCCTCACCCCTCATTCTGCTCCAGCAACCTCCTGTACCCCACTTTCCAGCTCTTCCAGGTTGGGGTATTCTGTTGCTTGTACTTCTCCATATATTCAGAATGTTCCCTTTTTACCACCCTAAGTCAGAGTTGCTTCTTGCATCTTACCTTAAAACCCTTCCCAGTCATGTAAGCTGAAGGAAGACAATCAGTTCTATTTGTTTCCTTTGTTACTCCTTTTTTTTTGTTTTGTTTTCCTTTCCTGTAAGGTGGCTGCCAAAGTACTTATTTGTATCTTTACTTGCAGCCTTCTTCAGAATCATTGTATACAACTCTAGAGGGAAACATCTCTTTACGGTATCTTTTGCTGCAAAATACTCTGTGATGCTTTGTGGATTCTTGTGCTCAATGCCTGGGTACAGCTCTCATTGCTATTAGTGCAAATCATATAAGCCCTTTGTGTAAAGCATATTTTGTAGCAATAAAGTATGTCTTATTAGTCTGGCATTGTGTTGCTGCTGACTATTTTTCCTGCAGCCTCTCTTATTTAAACTGGGCTTTAATTTGGGGATTTTGCTGCCTGCTCTGTGGTTGGGGTTAAGAACATTTACTAATTCCCCATGAGTTCCTTGTTCAATACTGCTTGCAAAATAAAAAGTTAAGTATTTTTATGTTTCTCGTTACTGCTAAAAGCATAAGAAGAATACAGCTCCCTTATACAGTATATCTTTGTTTCACATTTGCCATGGACTAATTGCCTGGGTATCCTGGCAGATGGCCCATTTGTGCCTTCAAATCCTATTTGCAAACCACAGAAAATTCAAGGCCATGCAAGAGTAATTCTTGACTCTGTAACCACATAAACTATAACTTATAAAATGAACTCTGTTTTATGTCTCGCAGCTCCCATTATAGGTAGCTTTCACTCAGCCTCAGTAATGAAATGGCACTATAAAATTGTTTTGTGTCCTGCCCACCAATAAAGTACTGTGTAGCAGGTGACAGATCCAGAAAATGTATATCCCAGTCACTTCTTTGTGAAAAATACTAATCACAAATGAGAATCTTCACCTCAAATGATAGGAATGGACTGAACTGGATGTGCGAAGCAGAATGTCCTCAAACCCTGGAGCAGGGGAGCCTGGAGATATACTGGGAAGTTTTTATCATCCACTGCTGAGTATGGACTGATTTGGATTTATCCTTTGAACTGCCAAAGAATGATGGAAATTTAACTGTTTCTCTTTTTCTTCCCATGCTATTATAACAGATGGTTCAGTTTGCTGTTAGGCTTGATTTCATGGTGGTATAATCTCCCTATCCACATTTGAGCAGCACTTGCTGCATATTGAAAGTACAAAGTAGTCAAGTTTCCCATTCATTTCTAGCTAGAGAAATCACTTCAACCCATATCTCCTGTACAGGACAGCTAACTCAAATGTAATGGGCTTAATATAAGCCAGAGCTTTCTTTGTGTGTACAGAAGTCAATTCAAGTTATATCGAGCTAATACTGCACTGAACACAAGTCATTTAACTGTGAGTCCCATCCATGGCACTGAGTGCAAAATCTAACAAGTGATTTCTTTCTACCTTTTAACTACTGTAATATAGCTTCCACAATGTTCCTTCAAATATTATGGGGAAAAATTCTATTATACCCTAACAATAACCCTATGGATAGTCAGGCCATAAATATTCCTTTCCCATTTTCTCCTTTAGCCTTCATTTAGAAACACATCGTATTTTATAGGAGAACTGTTCTATTCTCCATTACAATATTGTTGATCTGGAGTAGCTTTAGTGTAGGTAATACTGCTATAACTGAGATGAGAATTTAGATCTATGTATGTGTATGTGCGTGCATGTACATGTACGCACATGCTATATATGTAGCATAAATAAAGAGCTGTTAGATGGTGTTGCAGAATATAAGCATAGTTCTTGGTTTTTTGGACTGAAAAACTACTACTTGTGTGCTGCAAATGTCCATTTTTGTGTAGCTTTTAAGATGTGCAGTGGTGAAAGGGAAGAGAGTGTAGCAACAAACCAAGCATTATAATGATGTAACTATTATTGTGATGAACTATAATTTTGGATTGAGTGAAAACTACCCTAATCCCAGAAAAATCTCCCTGAACAATTTTAATCTTCATATAAACTCATCAAACTAATCTCTGTTTTCCAGGTGTGTGAGACAGATTTGCCTAATGCATAGTAGAACAAGGTCTCAGCCCAGCCATTGAAACTGATCATTGTGGTGGCTTTAAGTAGTAGCAAAACATAGTGGCTTTGTTTTCCTACATCAGGTGCACAGTGGACGTGTTTACACAACACGCTACTGTGTAGTCATTACTGTGCATTTATTGTGTACTTGTATTAGCACTGAGACTGCACAATAAAGCAAATGAAAAAATATATCTTAATGTTTAGGGTTTTCACTTTGTTTTCTTATGTTTTGTACTTTTTATTTTTGACTGTGGCTGTGGACAGAACAGTTCCACTGTTCTCAGGGGGTATGTGTGAGGGAGCTATTGCATATGAACACATATCAACTGATTCATTGGAGCTCTTTTGTGTATCTAGTTCCTTCTCCTGCAGTAAGCAAAGCTAAACTGGGCAATTTACACTGGAATGAAATAGCTGCTAAATTACTGTGGTTTAGATTCCACTTACTGTAGAGCAAACACATAATAATTACAGTGGAACAGCTTGAAACATAGTACATCTCCCCCCTTTTCAATCAGTATAATTTGTTTCTTCCACCCTTATCTTCTGACTGTCAAATGTCAGGTAAAACAGCAGATCAGTGATTGCACATTACTATGTGTATAGCATGGTCATTTTCACAGTGAGCAGCAAGGACAGACAGCCTAAGCTTCTGGAGGGCAAGGAATTCCTTGGTACCAGAATTCTCTGATTACAAAACCAAGGGAGATGATGAGCCTTTAGGAGCTAGCAACTGAAGAACTCTAGATGTTTCAGGAACAAATAGTAAATGCCAAATTATCTTCTTCTGCTTAACAATTATAGAAGTGGAAATGCTAACCCAAAGTTTCCATGGTTCATAGCCAAGGAGAGCCCCAGTGCATCACCCTGTCAGTGGCAGGGTCTAGTGGCTGGAAGGAAAATGGTGTATGTGCACAGTCTAGGAATGAAAGAGTCAAAGAGGTCCCCTGAGATCCACTGAGATGGTGAAAGGGTACCATTGCAGTGAACTCAAACCATAAACTGGCTCAGCTTTATCGGCAGCAAAGATAATGTCATGTGTCTGTGCCTCATCAACCTGCACTGATTTGGTGGTGATTGGTTTACACTCATTAACATAACATTGTTTATACTCATTAACATAGCATTGTATATTTAATACAAGCAACCTGTTCCATGGTTCTGTTTCACTCCACCATTGGCTGGTATAGAGTTACACACTTGCAGCAGCACAAGGCAGCTAGGCATATAACTGGATATTTGCTCATTTAAATGCCCAGCTTGTGCACATCACTGAAAGCTTTGTATGCTCATTGCTCATTGGACATATGTGTTTGTGCATGTGCAATGCATACACAAGCCTTTCAGTATTTGACTTTAAAAATTACTGGCAAAAAGCTTATACTTTTCTCTGCTGTTATGCTTCCTAGAGATTTGTTCTTGACTAATTACAAATAACCTACAAGTGGATGTCTATTTTTTAAAGCAGGTTTGAAGAAAGAAGTTCAAAAAGATCAAGATGCTAACAGATCTACTGTTTCATCCCCAAAACGATTAGCAGCATCAGCCACCAAGCTCCATTCACCAGGTATTTATAAAACTAGAGATCATTGTTCTAGCAAAGATTTAAACTTGTGAAATTTGCATCTCTTGCTAATAAACCAAAATCTGAGCCCTACTATTGTTAAATAAGAACTGATTGTGTTCAACTTTCATTAATCCAAGAATGAGAATAGCAGGCCTCAGGATAGCCATGCATAAAGTGAATAGTCTACAAAAGAGCAACCATTTAGCTACAAAAGAGGAACCATCTTCCTTCCAAAACAAAGGTTCATTTGATGTTAAAAAATGTCTAAGGCTACAAAATCATTACTTTAAAAAATCTATTACCCTTTTTTTTTATGAAAAGAAAACAAATGCAGTGACAGAGAAACCATGTAACAGTCACCCACAGTAATAACAGATCACTTGATATCTAAGGTCTTTATTGTGAAAGAAGCTTTACATTTTCTAGGTTATTTCTATAGATAATTGGAAAAGAGGCTATCTGTAGTAATAGGCTTTAGACAACTATCAGGGCACTGTCAACTGACAAATTAAGATTGCAAACAAACATGTATTTACTGATGTTACCAATAACACCTTAGTTCTTCACAGCTAATTTTTTTTAAAAAAATCCGAAGTGCCTCTTTGCTACTTGCATTCTTTGGACCAAAATTACCAAAGCATTTATGTGCCTAAAGATACAGATAGGTGCTTATACAGTTTTATTAATCTGGTCTGTTTGCCCTGAGCTCTTTTGAATGAGGTAGGATATAAATCTAAACAACAACGATAATAATATATCATGGAGATCACTGAAACCATTGAAATCAGTGGGCATTGTTCCATTCATTTCTGTTAGCTTAGATCAGACCCTTTGATTAATTCCCTCCCCTCCCCATTTTTTCAGGTTAAACTTTGAAATTAATTTACCTAAGTTTCATTAGACCAACTAAATAGTTGGAAAAATTGTTCTTTTCAAGCTTTCAGGCATAGGGAGAGTCTGCTGCTGTATGTCCTTAGATGAACACAGCTACAGCCAACACCCCTGAAACATGGAAGTGAGAGATCATTTATTTATTCATTTTAAACTATAAAACATTCTGGGCCTCTATCCTTTGATCCTCAGCATCAGTATTGCCACTGAAATACAAACTTCAGGATTGCCTTCATTCTAACTAAACTTGAGCAGTTTCACCTCTTGTGACACTGCAGCTAACAAAATCAAGCAAATGAAAATTCTCTCCCTTCTTCAGATGCTAGGGTAAAAAATGAGTTTAACAGTGTCCCCTGAAGGGCATTATATTCAGGTTATTTTGGACCAAGTGAGGTCATGTAGGGAATTCCAAAGGAAAGGGGTCTTCACAGATAATACAAGGCCAGCAGCTCCCTCAATTTTATACCAAGGAGACTCCAACTTAAACACATGTTGATTGCTAGTGTACCAACATGCTACAGGAAAAGTTGGTTAAAGAACAATTGTTTCAGTTAGAATTAAAATGGGACGAAGGAATCATCTGTAAAAGCATGACTTCAGCTTTGTAAAGTTGGTCAGTTTTATAAAGAATTACATTTCCAAAAGTGATAATGAGTGTTAGTACCTTAATTCCTACTCACTCCCACCCTGCCCCACCCCAAGCTAACTTAAAGGGCTCTAATTTTCATAAAAGGACGAATACTTGCCCTGTGACCATTAGACTCCTTTAAGACTTCTTGGACTGAGCCCCTTGAAATTCAGGCACCTTAAAATCACTCAACACTTTGGACAATTTGAGCTCAAAACAAAAATTAAATTTCTACCTCAGGTTTTACTGGACAATAGTCCTTTGTGTTCTTTTAAAAATAAATAAAGATAAAGGAAATGTATATTGAAGATGCATTTTCTTCATATGACAGCAGTACTCTGAAACCTTCACAAAATGGTCACTCAGACTAGGGACAGACATTCAAAAAATCTGATTCAATCATTGCAGGTTAGTCTAACCTGGCTAGGCTAAACCGGTTTGTGACCATACAGACACCCCTCTGGACTGAAAAAGTGCAGGCACATCCCTGCAGTGGCTCAGGCTAAAAGCCCGGCGGTGATAGAGCAGCCCTCGTTTCCCTTCCACAGTGCTGAATGGCCAAGCCCCAGCAGGACGCTCTGATTAGGGAGAGGTTCCCCCCACCATCCCCAGCCAGGAATTGATAACACAGAGTTTATCACCCCTAACTCAGTGTTTAACAGCTCATTAAGACCAGCCTCTCTCCATTAGTTCAAGCTCTTCTTAAACAGCTTTTCCAAGTAGGGACATTACCAGCTACCTGTTGATTAGCTCCAAAAAGCCCTAAGCCAACAAGGTCCTGTATGCCTTTGTCCCGTCTGCCACAGCACAGACCGTAGACAGCATTTGGTATGCTAGCTAATTTTGAGAGTTGTCTGTGTAAGGCAGAAGGGTGGGGGGAATCCCTGCTTGATCAGGGAGTGGAAGAAGCCAGGCAGACACTGCTGTGTCTGAAGTCTCTGCCAGAGCTGCAGCCAGGGAGCAGAAGGGAGGGGCCAGCCATGCTGGGCTGGAGCAGAGAGCAGAGCCCCACCCAGCAAAGCATCTCAGATTCTGGGGGACTCTGATTTATTTCATAGATTTCATAGACATTAGGGCTGGAAGGGACCTCGGAAGATCATCGAGTCCAGCCCCCTGCCCAAAGGGCAGGAAGTCAGCTGGAGTCATAGCATCCCAGCAAGATGAGCATCCAGTTTCATCTTGAAGGTGTTCAATGAAGGCGCTTGAACCACCTCCGGTGGCAGGCTGTTCCAGACCTTGGGGGCTTGGACAGTAAAGAAATTCTTCCTTATGTCCAGCCTGAAACGACCTTGAAGTAGTTTGTGACCATTTGACCTCGTCATCCCTTGGGATGCTCTGGTGAACAAACGTTCCCCCAGATACTGGTGGTCACCCCTGATAAACTTGTAGGTGGCCATCAGATCACCCCTGAGCCTGCGCTTTTTCAGGCTAAAGAGCCCCAGGGCTCTCAGCCGGTCATCGTAGGGTCTGCTTCCCTGACCTCTGATCATGCATGTGGCTCTTCTCTGGACTCTCTCAAGCTTCTCCACATCCTTTTTGAATTGTGGAGCCCAAAACTGGACACAGTACTCCAGCTGCGGCCTCACTAAGGCCGAGTACAGGGGGAGAATGACGTCCCGAGATTTGCTTGAGTCCGCCCACTTGCTGAGCCTGTCCAGGTCAGCCTGGATAACCTGCCTGTCTTCTGGTGTGGATGCTTTGCCCCAAAGTTTGGTGTCATCGGCGAACTTGGCCAGTTCTGATCGCTTCTGACTCCAGTGTCCACATCATTAATGAAGATGTTGAACAGTATGGGTCCAAGGACAGAGCCTTGGGGGACCCCACTGGTCACAGGACACCACGATGAGTGACTTCCATCGATTACTACCCTCTGGGTCCGACCCCGGAGCCAATTTTCCAGCCAGTGGATCGTGGAGGGCCCAAGGCGACAATTGGCCAGTTTCTCCAAGAGGCGATCATGGGACACCAGATCGAAGGCTTTTTTGAAGTCAAGATATATGACATCAATCTCTTCTCCCTTGTCCAGGTGATAGGTCACCTGGTCGTAGAAGGAAATTAGATTGGTCAAGCAAGACCTACCCGCAACAAACCCGTGCTGGCTATCCCTTAAGATGTTGTCGTCGGCCAGTCCATTAAGGATGGCCTCTTTAATAAACTTTTCTAAGATCTTCCCCGGGATAGAAGTCAGGCTGATGGGCCTATAGTTAGCCGGATCCACTTTCCTCCCTTTCTTGAAGATAGGCACCACATTGGCCTTCTTCTAGTCTTCGGGCACTACACCAGAGCGCCAAGAGTTTTCAAAGATCTGTGCTAGAGGCTGGGCTATGATGCTCGCCAGCTCCTTGAGTACCCTGGGGTGAAGACTGTCAGGGCCAGCTGACTTGAAGGTATCCAGCTTCTCAAGATGCTCCTTCAGAAAGTCAGCATTAATGGAGGGCAGGGGATCACCCTCACCCGGACTTCCCAGCCCTGAAGCGGGCATGGGCGTCCCATGGGACTGATGAAAGACTGACGCAAAGTACCTATTTAATAGGTTGGCTTTTTCCTGGGCGTCAGTTGTCAGTTGCCCCATTTGGGTCAGCAGGGGTCCAATGTTGCCCCTGCTTTTCCTCCGGCTCCCCACATATCTGAAAAAGGACTTCTTATTGTCCTTGATGCTCAAAGCTAGCTGGAGTTCAGTTGCAGCCTTGGCTTTCCTGGTCTGCTCCCTACAGGAGCGGAATTAAATTTAAATTTAATTTAAAGCAGGAAGGGGTCTGGGACAGACATTGCATAAACCAGTTTGATCCAAATCAGTTAAGTCTGATACTACATTCAACCAGGTTTATCTCAAACCAGTTTCAGCCATTTTCAAACTGACTTATGTGCACTGAACATGTGTTCTGTTACATATTTAAATCAGTTTCTGATCACTTAAACCAGTTTGTGTGTAATATCTATCCTTAGCCTCATTAGATAATGCGCTGTGGAACTACTGTTACTCCTAGAGTAACCCAAGTAGTTCTCCTTTTACTATCAGTTCATGTCCAGCCCTCAGAGTTGTTATTTTCTTGTTAGATAACCCTTCTTCTAATATGCTGTCAGGGTTTATCTGTTTTGTTTTAGCAAATGGGCATGACTCAGAGGTCACAATAGCCCAAGTGTTTTAATCTGATCCCTGGTTGGCTCTGGAGAGAGCAATGGTCCAGCCACCTGGATCATGCTGTAGGTTTGGGGCCTGTGTCTCTCTGGGTGAATCTACACATGCACTTTACTGCAGAGTTGACTAATTAGCTCTGCAGTAAAACATCACAGTCTACATGTGCACCAGTATTAAGGTGCAGTAAACAAGTTAACTCAGTTATAGGATAGTACTGTTATGGACACTCAGTCTGCCTAGCCAGCCAGGGGCCTGCTCCTCCCTGGTTCAACCTGCTGCTGTTCTGGGTGCACATGTAGATGCTGTGCCTGGGAGCAGTTCACTCAGGCTCTGGAGTTTATC